GCAGCATTTTATTTGTTGTCATCAAGCCCCATGACACCACAGTCAGGTCTGACACTAGGGAAGTAACCATTTACCAAGTTACTGCCTGGGAGTTAACAGTCTGTTTACTTTTTGAAATTTGTTTTTGTAAATAAAATTCATGAGCAGAATGAATGTGCTTGATATCTGGATTCATTTTAATGTCATTTTTCATAAGAGGAACCAGGCAGATTTTTTTTTTTTTTTTGGTAACTTTGGAGATTTTCGGAAGATTCTCAACACATTAAACGTTTGCAGTGTAAAAGGTGTAGGATAAGCAGCTAGCTACTGTCCTGTGCAGAAGTGTGTAGGGAACTGAGAGACCTGGCCACAAGCCACTGCAGCTTTGAAGAATGTGGCTCAAGGGAGGGAGCACAGCCTATTGCGTAACCTTCAGCAGAGAGGAAAATACCAGCACTGTCACTATCACTTGGCTTGTTTTCCATTTTGATTTAGTTACTTGGCAAAATCTTGGTTGAGACCCTGTAGTGGAGGAATGAAAGACGAGCAAGTTCCAGTGAAGGACTGTGCCTCTAAGGGCGTCAGCCAGTGGATGTTTTGTGAGGCCCTTGCAGGCATTAAATTTCTTATTGTTGGGCGGACGGATTAGTTTTGAGAGAGGACTTGAAAAACACCATTGAATGATACTTGCAGTTTTTTTCTGAAAGGGAATTCTTCCCTCTTCTCCCTGAACACTGTGTGCTGCTTGTTAGTTGAAATAACCTGTGCTTTCAAATGTCACAGCTACTGGGAGGGGCCCTTCTATGAAATATCACAGCTACTGGGAGGGCCCTTTAATAGCAAAATCACTTCCCCTCCTGTTCTGTGATATTTCAGTTTGGCAGGAGAGCTTACATGGTTTGGAAATAAAAAGCAGCATTGGTTCCTTCGGAGAAAAATGATCCCAATCTCCCAAAATAAAAGCCAAACAGACTCGAATTGTTCCTTTTCCCACTTGGGACTTGCCCTCTTGGAAGGTGTGGATAAGTTTGATAGGACCTTCCCTCTAAGAGGGTTAGTCATTGGGAATCGCCTCTTCCTCTGGGTAAAACTCACTTTTAAATCTCATTTTAAAACAGACCTCAAAGTGTCTTTGAAAGTAAAAGTACTTTGGTATCCCCATTCCTTGTCCCTTCCCTCTCAGCAAGGAGATGCCAGTTTGCTCATGGGAGACCTCTTACTATGATATCGAATCCTAAGTTTGCTTTATAGTCACACATGCTAAATTAGGGAAGATTTTTGTTTAGAGTTTTTATTGAGTTATCCATGGGTTGTGAAAATCCAAGTAAATGCTAACCAGGAGGCTAAATTTTTTTCTCACTTTCCATTTAGTCTACATAATGAAGTCCATATCCATAAATGTAACAATGTCAGTTTTTTCTGTTGTCTATTAGACTAGTGTTCATCAGAATATTCAGAACAGCAGCCTGAACTTTCACCAACCTTCATGCCCTACTTTGACAATAGGTGCAGAACCATGCCTTTCATGAATCCTTGTTCTACACTTGGAGACTCTGAAAAATGTCATCTTAAGATACTTGAACTTTTTTTCTCAGTGCATAAGGATTTTCTCATAGCCCATGATTTGGCAACCCTGTGCAGGAGGCTCCTGATCCACACCAGTCACATGAGAATCAAGGCAAGAAAAGAAGGGACCAGATGGTATAAGAAGATACGCCTTTCTAGGTCGTTGGTGGTTAAGCTTGCAATCTGGTTACCAGCAGGGAAGGGGATTTTTTTGTAAGGGAAGAAGAATTTTGCCATACAGTTTGTTTCAATAACTTGCTGAGAGAAAAAATTTTACATTATCAAGGAGAGTGGATTTTCTGATTTAACTTTATAGTTTATAGCCACAGGATATCCATTGCTCTTGGAAGGGTGCATTTTACCTAAAAGGTGGCATATACTCACCACACATGGAAAACTGTATGGTATTTGGATGGTGACTTTGAAAACTGTGGTTCCACCTTTGTCAGCTGCTGTCCTTCAACTGCCATTAGCCCTTTGTTATTCCACACTCCACAAATGTCTGATAAAAGTACAAAAACTAGAGGAAATGACATTTGGCTCCCACAGATGCACCTTTCCCCACAGGAGAGCAGAGGACATCACCACTCATCCTTCATACTGTTAATCTATCTCAGAGGACTATTTACACAAAACATGGATAATGGCATCACTGGACTTCGTGAGACATGATATTGCTATCTCAGGGTATGTTTTCTTGGTACAAGCTGTATCTTGGGGCACATTTATAATTACTTGACTGAAGAATGTTCAGTAGTGGCTAACAAAAAATATTTTAGAGGGCAAACCACTTCCTGTTCATTTTGGCATTACTTTGACCTTAACTCCCTGGCCTGGCAGACACTGACAGGGCAGTGCTGTTGCACATCACCAGACTGCTGAACTTGGTTGCTGTTTCCATAAAGAACCCTAATGCAAGTCGTTTTACCTTAAATGAAAAAGATGAACTATTTTTAATTTTAGATTTAAACTTGTTCCCAATATATGAGCTTGAGTCCTTTATTCTTCTTTTAATTACCTTGAACATTTGCTTTTTCATAGACAAATTCAACGGCCCTCAAGTCCAAAGTCAGGCTTCAACTTCTCTTATAAGTCTGCCTCCTCCAAGCACAATCTCTTCTTTTATTCAGATTCTGTTGCGCTTAATATCTGTATGGATCATTTCATTATAAACCAAATGAAATAAAACAGTATGTTTCGTTCTGTAGTCTAGATCTTAAAGTTTACATTTTTTTCTTTTCCTACTCAAACAAATGTCTAACATTGCTGAATATACAGAAGTCCTGTAGTAAATTTTAATTGATTAAAAAAAAACATAGACAGTCTAATATATTGTTAGTTGGTTTCTCCCTAGATTTTAATATGACTTAGATCTCACAAAACAGAAAATAGACTTACGTTTTTTTTTCCTTGATAGGCAACTGTAGAAAGGAGTCATTCTGAAGTTTACTAAACTAAAAGATATATCATATATACACACACACACACCACACATACATATATACATACACACTCTGAACCTCTGGGGTTAAGTAATTTAAATAAAATCGACCAGTTACTGTTAACTTTAGTTAGTTGCTCTGTTAACTTTTTAAGATGACTGCATTCAGAGGCCCCCTGGGAGCTTCTAATATGAGCAAGGGAAACCACCAGTCTCTCTCTCTCTCTCTGCCCTCCAGTCACATTCTGTGAATAGAGTTGTTAGGCATATGCTATAATAATTCTAATAAAAAGTTTAAAGGCACTATTTAGTGTGGATTTGTTTTTTTGTCTGTTCAGCAGGAGCACTCTGTGATTATATGAGAGTCCTCACTTAAGAGGTTTTCCAGTTGAAAATGATTTTTTTTCTAAAGGTTCTGTAATTAGGGGGAACAAAGCAAGGGAGAAGAGTGACTTTAAATTGTCAGATCTCATTAAGGGAATCCATTGATAGCACCGTTAATTTAGGGAAAATTTTTTAAATCCCATTATCCACATCAGGTATGTCAAATTTCAGCCTGGAGGCAAATACAAGTTACTGAACTCAATAAAGAGACTGGAGGAGAAATAGGAATGGACCTCTATAGCTGGGGTGGCGGTACTGGAGGAATATCAACAGTCCGTTGGCGAAAGCTCAGACCTTCCTGCCCGTAGTCATCCTTGCTTGTTAGTGACATAAACAGCTGCTTCTCACCTTCTCTTACCTCTTTTCAAATTGCTAGCACTTGAGAGTTTTACTTGACATTATTTCTTACGTATTGAGACAGAGAAATCATACTTTGGTTGGAGAGCTAGTAAAACCCTTCTGGCCCTTTGAGGAGAAAATGGAGGATGTGTTTTGCTCCTGGCACAGTTGAGACCGTTGCTCAGTGTTCAGTTACAGCTCTTTAAGGAGGAGTAGGAGTAAACACATTTGTGGACTTTCTTTTCAGACATACTATGTTAACTGTTGAATTATGTTATGCTTTACGAAGCACAGGACGAAAAATGTGTTTTAGGGTGGAATTATTATGCAGAATTCTTATCATGGTGTTCATAGTTCCATTTAAGGTACATGGAAGCTAAGTCCGTAAAGGCTCTCTGCTACCATTTATAGGAGAAATTTCCCCTAAGTTGCCCATGGGATGAGAGGATTAAAGAGTGCAATGACTTTTAGTAAAGAATTTTCTCACCTGGCTATTTTCCATGTGTAGAAAAGTGCAGGTGGGATAGTAAGAAAGAGAGGCGAGAAAGAGAGAAATAAAAAATAAAAACTAAATGAGCTGGTACACTTAGACACTAGGAAGCCGGAGACTTTTTATGGATTGTTTTTTCAGTGACTAGAATTGACCACAGCAGGACCGTAGTTTTGCCTTACCCTATCCTAGCTGGTCACAGAATTTTGCTCTTTCTGTTGGTTGTGTTGGATCATAGGAAGTTGTGATTTTTGTAAGTGAGAAATGGTTGAACACCAGAAATTTCGTATGGTTCAACCTAATACATAATGACATGTAACACTGTAGGACAGCTACAGTTGTAGAGAGGGGTGTGTGTGTATGTGTGTGTGTGTAAAAGGTGGGAAGGAAGAAATGGAAATTCATGAGCATTTTATACCACCTTGGCTACACTGTCTGAAAACCCCTATTGTGGCCTATGGTCTTAAGCATTCAAAATTCAAGAAAATTTAGTATGCTTTCCTACTTCCACATTAATACAGTTGAGACAGTTTATGGGGCAGGTTAAAAATTAAGCCCTTTCTGACAGAGATTACTACTGGGGATAATAATCTGAAGTGACTAGAGCCTGCAGAGTAAAACAAATGGCAGAGACTGAAACCCAGCAGGCATGCCTGGGCTTGCAAATACTTTGGAACTGAAGAATTAGGGGTGTAACATGGTTATAGACTAGTGTGCGAGTTATTATTTGTCATAAAATAGGTTGTAGGATGCTTCTAGTGGAATATTTAGGCTGTGCTGATTTTATTTTATTTTTTTTAGACGAGCTCATCTGCGCCTGTGTTTAGAACGCTTGAAAGTTTTGATTCCACTAGGACCAGACTGCACCAGGCACACGACGCTTGGTTTGCTTAACAAAGCCAAAGCACACATCAAGGTGAGACTTTTTACTTTCATTTAGCCCATGATTCCCTCAGTCCTGGTTTCATTATAAGCAGTGATTCCTGTTCATGATGTCAGCTGGCTCACCATGCCCTCCTTAATAACTGACTTCAAGAGAAACCTTTCTGAAAATTTACCAGTTAATCTGATGGAAGCAGCACAGCCTGATTAAATTGTTTTGACAGCATGGCCATTTGAAGAGCTGGGAATACTAGGAAAATCAGCTGCTCTGCTGATACCCAGAAGGGAGGAAGTTGTGCCCTCTGCTGGAGATGACTTTATTTGGCTGTGTCCCTCAGTATTTTTCCATCAAACTACACTGCAAAGCAAGTTTCTCTTTCATAGAGATAATTTAGCAGACTTAAAAATTCCATACTGTTCTAGTAATGTAGCCTTATTACATACGTAAAAGGAAATGAAGAAATAACTTTCTGATGTTTAAAAATACGTATTTATGTATGTTTTTATATATACACACTCATATATACTTGTACATCCATTCGTGTTTTTCTCTGCCAAAACAGAAATTTTCAGAGATGTTAGGTAGAAATGAGTTTTACTGTTTGTACCGGACTATACACAAACTTAAATATCATCTTAACATTCTAGAAACTTGAAGAAGCTGAAAAGAAGAGCCAGCACCAGCTAGAGAACTTGGAACGAGAACAGAGATTTTTAAAGCGGCGACTGGAACAGCTGCAGGGTCCTCAGGAGATGGAACGAATACGAATGGACAGCATTGGATCAACAATTTCTTCAGATCGTTCTGATTCAGAGCGAGGTAGGCAGTGTGCTTGTTCCCTAGTGAAATACTAACCAGCCTTGTATCTGGATTTAGGGAGGGCAGGTGGGGAGGCACTCTATTTACTTTCTCTTTTTGGCCAACACTAACATTCTAGATTTTATGCAATCACAGCATTATCTAGCAATGCCTTCATGAACCGTAGAACTTTTTTTTTCTTAATTATATACACATATATATATGTACATATATATATATTTTTAAACTCTCTGCCCTGGGACAATTTTAGGCCTACAGAAAAATTCTAAGTTCTTGTGTAGAAAGTTGGAAAGTTCTTATATGCCCTTTATCCAGGTTCCCCTAATAGTAACATCTTATATAACCATAATATAGTTACTGAAACCAGGAAATTAACATACATGTAGTACTAGTAATTAACCTATACACCTTATTCAAATTTCACCAGTTTTTCCACTAATATCCTGTGTGTGATTCAGGACTCAGTGCAGGATTTCACATTGCATTAAATAGTGCTTGGCCTTTCTTTCATGACCATAACACTTTTGAAGAATAGACTGGTTATTTTATACAGTGTCCCTCAATTTAGGTTTGTCTGCTGTTTTGTCATTATCAGAGTGAGGTTATACATTTTGGAAAAGAAATATCACAGAAGGGATGTTGTACTCTTCTCAGTTCATCAGGAAGATATGTGATGTTGATACATTTTATTACTGGTGATGTTCATTTTTATATTTATATTTTAAAGGTACCACACTCTTCATTTCTCTTTTTATCTGTCCAGAGCATTTGTCTTTGGCAGAATTCAAAAATCAACCAAAAAAGAATTTGTTTGAACCTTAACTGAATTCTTCATTTATAGCTTGTACTACATCAGGCCTTACACCATAATAAAAGATCCCAGAGGTGACATCTGGTGATTTTAAGCTTTATATTTTGGAAAATAGAGCTCATGCAATATTGAGAATTCTAAAACAAACCAAATAAATTTTGGTAAAATTTTCTTGTCTTGACTATTTATTATGGAAAATTTCAAACATACATAAAAGTAGAATAATAAACTCTCATGGACCCATCATCCAGTTTGAACAGCTGTCAATATTTTGGCATTCTTGTTTCATCTGCACTCTACCACCCTCACCCTCATCACTTTTTCTGAAATGTTTTAAATCAGATCCCAGATAACATTCTCATATTTTCCCTAAATACTTCAGTATGTATCTTTAGTAAATACAACTTCTAAAAATATAATCATAATACATAATTCTTATATTCTACAAAAGTAGTAAGATCAGATAATTTTTTAAAATGTCTTTTAATACCCAGTATCTGATAAAGTTTCACAAAAATGACATTTTACCATTGGTATGTTTGAATTAGAATACAAAGTCCACATTGCATTTGTTTTTTGCCTCTTAAGATACTTTTAATCTGTAATAGTTTGTCCTTCCCCACTTTTTTCAATACCACTTATTTGTTATAGAAACTGGGAATTGTTATAGAATTTCCCATGTTCTAGACTTGACTGATTGACTCTTCATGGTGTCATTTAACATGTTCTTCTGTCCCTCATATTTCCTATAAACTGGTTGGTAGATCTAGTGGCTTCATTAAATTCATGTTCTTTTTTTGAGGCAATAATACTTCGTAAGTGGTGCTCTGTGCTTCCTCTTGCATCAGTATTATGTCTAGTTGTCTTGACTCGTGATAAAATTGGTAACTGGGTTCAGGTGACATCTTCCTGATGTGTAAATGTATCAACCTTTCCCTTAGTAGTTTCAGCAGAATCACTGGTGATTTTTGCCCAACCATTATTTCATTAGGTGTTACAAAATAGTTGTTTTCTAATTCTGTCATTCTTTTTTGCATTTTAACTTTTTCTATAAAGAACATTTACACAACTTTTTGGTTATCCTGAAATAAAGTCCATACAGGGGAGATGGGGTAAATGCTTCTTGTGTTTTTGTTTTTGTTTTATCAATTTTATGAATGAGTTGGTACTTCAGCAACCTCTGAAGATAACAAGGTTTTTTATTTTACTGTTTATGTTATGAACTCATGTCTTAGTGTATTTATTGTATGTGTTCTAATCCATTGTATTATTCCTTTTAATTCTTTTTAATACTCAAATTTCCCATATTCCATAGGAGCCTTTCAGATTGGTTTTTGATCTCTTCTAACACAACCCTAAGAGTCCTTGGGTTTGTTTTTTTGCCATGTAAAAGTGTATTTTTATGTGGTTCTCAGTTTTGAAGAACAACATTTTACCTGAGGCAACAGCAAGAACCTCAAGAACATGCTACATTTATAAGTGACAGTGAGGTACAGCTGAAATAATCCTAAATGAGACGGCAGACCTGGATTCTAGTCTTTCTTCTACTGCTTACTAGCTGTGTGACTTTGTCAGGTCTTCAGGCTTCAGCTGCTGTTATCTCCTCCTTGTACCCAGCCCACCTCCAAATTGGAGAGGGTGTATCTCCACCATTAGGGTTCTGTTTTTTAGTACTCCCAGTGTGCCAGTACCTTACTGTGTATCATTCTTATTCTTATCTGGTGGCCCTCTTAGTAAACATCTCTAGTCCATTTGGCTAGAGCAATCTCTCATTTTATTTTGTTTTGACTGAAAACAGTATGCTATTGGGTAGGGTGTGTTGATTTTATATCCCAACTGTAGGTTGGGTAGTGTTTTGTGATACTGGGAAACATTAAATAGCCTGTGAAACTTTATGGATATGAAACAATTAGTTATGAATTCATAGGATTATTTGGACAGCTTGTTTGGACAGCTGCCTGCATTTTAAAAACATCTCTAAAGCTTTTTGAAGCAACAAGCCCTTTTGAAAATATACTCTTTGAAGTAACTTACTCTGTCTTGGGCTCAGCAAGAATCCAGTTTTCCTAAAGCAGTTGTAATCAGTGTGAACCCTTAAAGTCAGTGCCAAATATGAAACATCAGGGTTTGAGTTTGTTTTAAGAGAACTGAAGAATCTTGAGTTCATTTTGGCTGTTGTGGGAGAAAACAATTTTTCAACTGCCTTTTACTTTTTGAAATGTGTACTGTTTTTACTATATTAATGGTGATTGCATATGCAGTATTCAGCAATTCAGATATCTATCAGTAGCTGGGTCATACATGTATTTAGGGTTGTTTTTTTTAAAATCATGCCTGGCTTTTGAAGTAAAGTTAAATACCAGTATTGAAATGCCTTTACTATAATCTTTACTTTAGATACCTCACTATCATCCAGAGACTTTAAGCCTCAGGTCCTCATTTCAAGCTATATTTAATACAAGAAAATTAGGTAGAACTGAGGGCAAATCACTCAGAGTCCACTCTAATGACTGACTGATTTGGGTTACTTAATAGTCAGAGATCTTTATGATGAATCCTAGAAGTCTGTAGAACCATCTGTAGACTAAGACTACCACAGGCCTGGATGGATGAATTTTCTAGTTCACTGCCTATATTGTTTATGCTTTTTCCTCCCTGTTTAAGGCAACTCTGATTAATAAATAGCACTGAGAATTAGTTTCTAGTTTAATGCAAAACAGATGTTGTTAAACCACTTGGGGTTGGGATCTTTTAATATTAACCACTGATTCCTAAACAGGCTGAGTGCTTTTGGTGGGAGGTCCAGACAGACTGGCGTCAAAGGCTTTAGTAAACTTGCTGCCTAAATTGAGACCACCACTGTATACCAGACATTCCCCTCCGCAAATTATGTCCCTGTGTCTCTTCACCTTGAGTTTTTTCTTTCCTCCGGACATCACTCACTGATAATCTTGAATAGCAATTATTTTATACTACAGAAAGTAATCACTTTTTCTTATGCCCTGTTAGTTTTGAAAATGCACACATATACTAGATTACTGATGTTCTTTATTTTTTCCCTTTGGCAGAGGAGATTGAAGTGGATGTTGAAAGCACAGAGTTCTCCCATGGAGAAGTGGACAATATCAGTACCACCAGCATCAGTGACATTGATGACCACAGCAGCCTGCAGAGTATTGGGAGTGACGAGGGTTACTCCAGTGCCAGTGTCAAACTCTCGTTCACTTCCTAGAACCCAGCATGACGTAACAGTGCAGGGCAAAATATTCACCGGGCCAGTTCAGTCCAAACAGTCTCATAAATTGGGTTCATGATGCAGTCTCCTCTTTAAAACAAACAAAACTATACTTGAACAAAAGGGTCAAAAGACCATAGCAAATACTTAGCAAAAAGTGGAGCAAAGCCTCCCCAGCAGAACAAATATTCATTAATACTCATATTTGAAAATCACAATTTCTAATGGCAGCAGAAAAACTTGTATGAATTTTTCCTGATTTGAAAGAGGACGTTGGAGATTCCTCTTTTTCTTTTCTAGTTTGCTCTCCTACATTGAGTAGACATATTTAAGGCTAGGATTATGAACTCTTCCTGAGTTTTATGGTCCTAAAAAAAAAAACCTGTAGTAATGACAATATGAGATAATCAGGCATTAATCTTGGATAGCTAAAGAGCTATTAAAACTCAGCCTGGGACAGCTTATCATGAAGCCTATGGATGATCAATTATTTAAAAAATAAAGCTCATTTCACGCTTTGCAAAAGGAGAGACTCCCATGAAGCCTTTTGAAAGGGATCATCGTGCAGCTCAGCTTTCTGTTGGATTCCATGCTAAAGGCAAACTAACCTTATCCTGCATTGTTAGCACTGATAGGGCAACCCAACCGCCAGTTAGCGTCAGCCACCCTGAGGCCCTTGGGCACCGTGGGGGCAGTCCACGCATAACAGCCTCCACCAGACAGGGCCTGAGTTTGGATTGAGGGGCCAGAAGGATAAAGCTCCATGTGCCTCTGTCTGTGTGAACCAGAAGTTGTGCACGCAGATTAGCAGGCCAGGGTCTGAGCCACGGCAGCATTTTTATTTCAGATTTTGATAACTGTTTGTATGTGTTGAAAACCAAAATGACATCTTTTTAAAGCTTGTCCATAAAAAACATAGATGTCTTTTATAGTGGAAAAACACATGAGAAAAAAAATCATCTATTTTGATGCAGCATTTGATAATGATAAAAACACCTCATGCCTCACTCTATATAGTGCACAAAATGAATGAGGTCTGGGCTAGATAGAAAAAAGGTCAATGCTGTTTTTGTTTTCTTTTAAAATCATTACCTTTCACCAGCTTTTAACCGTCTGATAACATAGTTTTACCGTCATAGTTAACATAGTTAAGTTCGGCACTCGTCTCATTTTAATGTAAAGATTTGCTTCCGTTTTCCTACAGGTGATCTCTCTCCTTCCTCACAGTCCCACTGTGCAGGTGCTATTGTTGCTCTTATCAATATTTTCAGCAATGTTACTTTCTTTTTAAGTGAAATTTATTTTCTAGCCTGCACTTTGATGTCATGTGTTTCTTTTGTTTTTCAAACTCCAGGGTTCCCTCCTGACCCTCTCCCCTTACCCCAGGAAGCCTTCTTGGAGACATTACCCCTTGGCTCTTTGGACTTTATATACTTTAAATAATTTAACTACCCTTAATTACTTAAAAAAAAAAAAGCTTTATGATTTTCATAACTTATTGCTGATTTTAATGGGTTGTTAATTTCAGTCCTGTAGTTTTATTTTGTTTAGATAGGGCTGGGCAAGGAAAAAGAAAATAAAGACAACCATATTTAGCAGTACAGTTGAGTTGTGTATGTAATGTCAGGCTATCCTTTGTAAGTAGCACTTTAACAGCTTTCACTGCTTCTGTATATGAAGTGTACCATCTTGGTCATACACAAGGCCTCAGCATATACTTACTTGTTCTTGTGCTCTTCCTGTGCCTCCACAAATATTTACCCTTGATTGTGCTGTTTGAGTGGAAGAAATTCTTTGAAGTAGATGTGTGAAAAACTGCATGCCTTTAGAAGCCCATATTAGAACTTGCTACTTCAGGTGCTGGGGACTTAATGAAAAACATGACAAAACAAATTCATTTCTGTGGCCCAGGTCAATTTTTGGTTTCATTTGTGATTACTCCTGGCCAAGTCAAAATGTTGCTCTATATATTTGCTTACTTTCGACTTTCCCAAGTGAGACAGTTTGAAGACTCCGCTAACTACCATGTAAAGTAAATGGAAGCTCATGACTTAAGCTTCCACTTTGTTATTCCTGTGGCATTCACTGCATCACTCGTCTAGGGCTTGAATTTGGGATTTCATTCAGGTGAACTTGAGGTGCTGCCATTTTGTTGTATATGTACAGGATGGTGGGCTGGGAAACCTTTGTGACAAACCTAGAATACCTATTCACCTGCCCCCTAAATTACTCCTTCCCTGGGTTTGTTTTCCTTGAGGGAGGGGGATGGATTGTATGATGAATATTAATTTTTTTAAAGACAAATTGACTTCGATGACACAAAAGTTAATTGCAAGAAATAAACATTGTGAATGAAGAATACCTGAGTGCTTTTTGTACCACCCTTCTCTATGAAGGAAAAATACGAATTAGCACCCACACCTTGAGAGGCAACTATCTCCTAAATGTCTGTTAATCCTACTTCAGTAGTCCAGAGTTAATGGCAATTTGAGTCACTGCCATTTCCTGTTCTATAATTTAAACAGGTGCCTTCTTGACTGATAACTCCACGCAACCTAACTGCAGATGGTTTAATGTACCCAATAACCCTAACTGCGTCAGGTAGGACACAAAGCCATTATCATTCTTATTTGTTCTCCAAACTTTTTTGGGAATCCATTTGACTACACTATTACTCAAATTGAAAACAAGTCTGAAAGTCCCCATTTAGTCTCCACTAACCTGAGTCAAGGTACCCTTAGAGTGATATATTCATGGTACAGGTAAATCCATAGTGCATCATTACCAAAGATCCTGAAGTCATTATAACTCTAGTTTCTTATTAGAGTAGATATGAGAAGCCCTGTAGAAAGCCTTTTCAAGTGCCCATGACTATGATAGCTTTCAGCATTATGAACGGATTTTTTTAAAAGGCAGTGAGGATTACTGAGCAAAGTGCTCACTTGTCATGAGAAAACTGTTTAGTCTTTTGGAGGTTTTTTTGAGTTTTTCTTCCACTTTTAGCAACTAACTGGCCTTTTCCTATTACCCTTCCACCTCAAAATGTACATACTCACTAACAAAAACATACTGTGGAAAGAACAAGAGTTTTGCTTACACTTAAATCGCAGTTTTAACATTTGTGAAGAACCCTGGGCAAATTACTTCTGCATGGAGCCGGTTTCCTCCTGACAAGTTTTACTACTTCTATTTTAAAAGGCTAAAAGGATTAAAACTGATAGATGAAAACTCCCCCACCCCCATCTAGTTTATAGCACCAAAAGAAAATAAAGAGGTATGTACTTCTCTTTCTCTGATGAATGCAACCTTATCTTCTCATCCTTAATCTTGAATTTTAGTTACTCTGACTCAGGGTCATGCAGGAAAAAAAAACTTTATTAAAATTATTCACTTTTACAAAACTCCATGGCAGCTTATACTTTGTAAGAAGTCAATTTTGATGTCCTACCTATAGAATTTTTTAAATAAAGGCTTTATAAGATTGTTGTATTATTGGTTTTAGTGATTACCTGGTCTTCCTAAAAAAAAAAAAAAACAAAAAAAAAAACCTAGCCTGAGCTTGGGTATGTTAACACTGACAGTAACCATTGTGTAATAATTGAGTGCCCTAGTTAACACTATTTAGTGCTGGCCTTACGAAGAGAAAAAAATCTTGGTCCATGTACCAGATCCAACAGAAAATTAGTTTTTTTGTGGAATACATTTGATTATTTCAAATATAAATCAGTGTAGTTCAAATACATGTACTGGCTACAACTTAAGTTCTTGGTTCTGTTTTACCTTTCTATATAGTCATAAATTATTACGGAAATGGCTAAAGTGGAGCTTTTTAAAAGTACTGCCAACTAACTTACTGTAATTTTGGAATTTCTTCTGTTTCCTCAAGCTTTTTGCTATGGAGTGGTACTAATAATGTCTTTTTTAGTAGATTTTCACACCAGGGCACAGAAGAGCATCGAAAAAAAAAACACCAGCTATAAAACATCTCTAAAATATATATTAAAAAATACAAACTCAGTAAGTCAGTTGTTTCTAAATAAGAAGCTTCACCACACTTACTGTGAAAGCTAGGTCAGATAAACCTGACAGTGCTTTTGGAGGGAAAAACTGGGTGAAAGAACCTAAGGGATACTTACTCCTCCTTTCTGCATACTTCTGAGCAGTGAACAATTGCACAATCAACATCTATTAAAGACTAGCCTAGCTGCAATCTCAGGTTTCAACTCTAGTTTTCTCAGGATAGAGTCAAGTGTTTCCTCCAAGCCTGAATTCTTTTTTGTTTCTCAGGCCAGAAATTCACTGCCATCTTGCTAAAGTCAGTACAGGGCTTGAAAGGGGGAAAAACAAAAAAAACATCAGTTTCACCAAGGGAGATCATGAGCCAGCAAAATAACAACCATGATTTGGGGCCTCAAATTGAGAAAGTTATCTTTTCAAACAAAAAGCAAACCTTTTTCTTCTGATGAGTATAACCAGGACTTCTTTAGCTAGGCTCTTAAAAGTTAACTGAGAAAACAAATTAGTTTTATTAATTCCAGTAACTTAAGTCTGTACTGGTTTTGTAAAAACGAACTGGTGAGATGCTTGGAAGTAAATTGCCAGTTTGTTTCCTAGGAACTGAAAGATGACTTAAGTATCCAAAATTTGGTATTTTTAGTTAGTTCACCTGTCCACTACCTCAAGTCCAAAGTTAATCTTAAATCTGCTTCCCCCGACTCAAGATCACAAATCACCTTTATATACATAAACTGAAAGGCAGAAAAGGCAATTGAAGAACTTCACAGAAATCTAACCATAAATTACTTACTTTTGGTTAGGGCCAAATTCTTAGAATGTTAATATTGGTTTCTGACCCTTTTCAAGATATTTCTTAAGAACGTATCTACAACAGGTATGTTTTTGAAATAATCACAGCCTAAGGGGCTTCAATTACTTGGGTTTCTGTTTAAACTATGGTATTGGTATTACCTCTTATTTTGCCTATGCTCTTCCTCTCCACTGTAGTAAAAATTCAGTTTACCTTACAACTCAAAAATCCTAGATACAAAGAATGTTTACTGTTGAACTCATATATTACCATTTATAGGAATTGGATGCATCATAGTATATAATACAAATACTTTACAGTTCATTAACTCCATAAAGATTTCAACAAATATAAAACCTTGTTTTAATAGATTTTCTTTCCTTTTTTTCTATACTTCAGTTAACATCCAAGTTGAGACAAAAAGCCAAATCAAGGCTATTTAAAAATACTTTTGGTTCAATTTGTAAGTGGTTATTTTCACCTTTTATTTTTAAAGGTTAAAGGCAGGCAGACACACACAGTATTAAAACTGCATTGTAATGGAAACTGTGTGTGTGTGTGTGTGTGTGTGTGTGTGTGTGTGTATGCACACACACACATGTACACCCTTTGTTGTGACCAAAAAAAAGCACTTAGAAAAATGAGTCGTTACAATAAACATTTACATTTCATTTTGGTTTGATGTCTAGTTTTTACAGTTGTGCTGAGAAAACTGCTACTTAATAATTTTCCTTCATTTCAAAAATCAAACTTTTACATTTAACCAAAATCATGGTTCACAGCCAGGGACACACATCAGAATCACCTATGGTATTTGTCAAAAACAGACACACCTTGACCTAGATAGGTCTAGGACAGGACCCAGATCAAGGAATCCCTCTTTAAACAAGCATTAGGTATAATTTTTATTATCATCTGTAACCTCTTCCCATTGAGTCATGTCCTAAGATATTCTAATATAAAAATGTAAACCTTTACTAGGATGTACTTAATACATAACTTTGGTAATTTGCTAACATTTCAGCAATACATTTATAATTAGGGGCCTCAAATTGTAAACAGTGGACACGAGGACTTTTCAAAGGGCCACATCTAGGTCTTTGACACAGGGCTCTGATGTCATGCTATATGTTTCTTAAAAATGTTTTATATAACATAGTCACCTTTATTTCTTTTCGTTCCTCCTACTGCAAAACCCTCCAGGAAAACTTACATAAAGAAAGGAAGACTTAAAGGGTCAAAGGAGACACATATCTCCACACAAGAGTCTTACCTACACTAACACGTGACCTGCTACTCCAACATACCAAGATAATCTCACCAAAAACCATTTTGTGTGGCCAATTACACCGAACTCTTTTCAGTCCTATTTAATTCAAAGAATTCCCTGGCAATCCTTCATGGGTACTGTTTATTGGGACAATCTAAAGATACCTGTCAACACCAGTAACAAGAACATTAGTATATTTTATTTAGGCCAGGCTGAGTAACCCTTTTTACATTCTAATTTGTGCTTGTATTTAAAAACGACTTCACCTTTCATTCTGTACATTTCTACCCTGTGCCATAAATTATAGGAAGAAAAACAGTGATCCTCCTAAGTTGGAAGGGAGGTAGAAGGGTGAGATAAAGAGTTCTATCTCATCACTGTCCTCCCTAAAGTTTCAATTTACAAAAAAAAAAAAAAATTCATGAAATAAAAACTTTTATTTGCCCCCCTCTACCAAAAACATAAATACGTCTATACATAGCACAAGCCCTTAAAAGAAAACTGGTTTGTCCTTTAGGATACTTTTATTTTTTTATGGATCTAATTTCTTATGTCTGACAGGAGTACACAGGACTTGTAGAAATCTTTATCACATACTTAGAATTCTTTTTTGTAGAAATGATGTATGCAAGTACATCGAACTTAATCACTGTATCAATGCTGGCAGCTAAGACTTCACCACCCTTTTGTTAATGCACCCTGGAGATTTTAAAAACACTTTATTTAATAAAAGTTAAACATACAAAAACAAATTAACACACATCCTAAAAAATCACCAGCTTCCATTAATAGGAAGACTCTTTTCTATGCATATATTTGGCTTAAACTCAACTCAGGATAACCGATGTTCACTTATACCAACATATGCTGACAACTTGATCTAGGTAACAAAAATTACAAACTCAACTACATGAACATAATATACAGGGAAATTATGGTCAGATTAATGTACAAGAAATACAATAAATTTTTAATGATGAAACATTCAGTACTCTTGTTCATTAATTTAGCCTTGGTTTTTTTTTTGTTGTTTCTTTTTTTTACAAAAATAGTATCTACACTGTATACAGGGCTATACATCAGCTTTTGTATTTTCATATAAACATTATACGTCCAAAAAATGGTACCACTACCGTAAGAGGAAAATCAATGCAGGAAAAAAGCAAATATAAAAAAGAAAAACAAAAAAAAAACCCCAAAACATTAGAAAAGGTAGCTGGTCCTAAACATGGTTTCTTACATAAAACTAAAACTCAATGAATAAAAGAGCTGGATCAATTTTAGAAATGGTCTAATAGGCTTAGGAAACAAGTTATTGAAGGAAAAACCTCAAAACAAACTCTGACATTTACAAATTAACCTAGTTTTAGGGTTAAGAGGGCAACAGCTAGGTTTAAGTTGAAGATAAGAAAAAAATGATAAGATTTCTATAGCACGTTGGTGTCCTGGCTTGATGTCCCAGTGAATTGCTAGAGCATGTGGCAAGTTCAAAGCATCTGAAAATTCCAAGGTAGGACTTTACAGAAAGCATACCATCAAGTGGGGGCCTGATATTAGGAAGATCAACAATTCATTTAAGTGCTGTATTTATACAGCACCTATCTAGAAAAGTTGCATTATCCAACAACCTTTGAGGAAACTGTGGTAGTAGTAATGAAAAAAGTTAAATGAATAGCAGTTATTAAATGCAATTTCTTCAAGTTTCATTCTATTGAAGTCAAACAAGGATGACAATGGTATCTTTCTTACTCTAACAAATAATTTACCTTTAGAAAAATATAAGGATAAAAAGGTAAATGTAAAGCCCTGCAGAGATGAAATCCAACAGTTTTTCTGATTATTGAGGCATCAAATGCCTGACATTGTATTTAGAGGTATCTTGATACTGTGTCATAGGTTTATCAGCAATTCCACAAGTTCCTACTCCAACTTTGCCAGTTACACTCTCAGGTGAAGCAAAAATACTCCTTTTAACCTAGGGTAAAAACAGAAACCGTTCTTGATTAGTTTTGGAAAAAATAAAAATTCCAAAATATATCCAGAACTTGAGCACTCTTTTAAACAAAATCTACCAATGATGCACAGCATAAGGTATGTTCACAAACTAGGTAGGGTTCAACACATTCCCTTTAAGTGATACATATAAGGTATGAAATAATTTTTCAAAATTTAGTTTACAGAGGGAAGAGAACCTAGGTCTTCTGTTAATTACTGATACAAGCTCATTCATAGTGTTTATACTGCAGAGACAGTGGCTAATGGATGTATTTTTTCAATAAAAAAAGCTGAAGATTGAAGAGGATTCTGAATTCAAGATCCAGTTATGTATTTTTAAAGTTATCTTAATGACAGTTGACTTTTCAAACTTACAAAGTTACGATGCAAGGATTTACTAACCTGGCCTTTCTTGTTTTTAGAGTAAGCCCTGTTGTTGAACTGTTGCCATTTCACCTTCTGATCCTCTCTCTCCTGCTCAAGTTCTTTTATTCTTTGTGCTTTTTTCAAGGCTTTCTTCTTTTTATATTCACGCTGCTGGGCAATCATTTCTTTTCTGTATGGATATAAGGTCTAAATGTCAACTCTTAAGATTTAAAAGATGACTTCCTTAAAGATATTTTGCAGTGCAACCCCAACCCCATAAACCTAATAAACTTACACACTTTTCCTATGAATAAAAGCACTAACATCAACAATGCCAATCACCCAGCACTAAGAAAAAAAATGTTATTTGAAATATATCCTTGGAAGCTTCCAAAACATAACTGTTACCTATTACCCATTTAAATCAAATCTCTCAATTAAATGGACAGTTAGCTAGTGTAATATGCTGCATTTGGAAAAATTGTATTAAGATTCAGTACAGATAAACTGTATTTCATCTGGATTGGAAGAGCACAGCAGGACAATGGGAAATTATGGTAACAATTCTTAAACTGGGGTTTTCCAAAACTGCATACTCTAAATAAATATGATCAGAGCCTAAAGCTCTCTTAATACTTCCACTCAGCACTGATTTCCCACCAAAAGGAAGGTCTTTTAAAGAGGCAATAATATCTAGACACCTCTGTATCATATAATCACCACTACAAAGCTTTAGTGTGGGCTTTTTACACAGATGTCAAAGACTAAAAAGTCATATTACGTTGTTCTACAAACCAATTTTTGTATTGGGTCACTTAAGTGTGACAGAATTTCCCCAATTTCAAATATATTTATGTAACAACGTAAGTTTTCCCAATTTCAAATATATTTATGCAGCAACGTAAGTTTTGAAAACTCCTGACAAATCCAAATCAGCAGATGTGTTTCAAGTATGCACAAGTTAACCAAAATACTAATTCTACTTCTTAAAATACCTGTCAACGGTAGACTTCTCCAACCTCACTGCTGCTCCCTGGGTTTGGGCCACCATCACCTTACACCTGGATCATAGCAGCAGCTGCCTTCCCTTCTCTGCTAGTGATTATTCAAAAGCTCACATCTGATCACATCATATGCCCTTACACAAAATGCATCAATGGCTTTCAAGCTCTTTATGATCTGGTCTAGTCTCTTGTCAAATCACCAACCCTTGAACCCCAGTATTTTGCCACAGGAATTTTCTATTACCTCTATGTTCCCACCTGTTTTCCTTTTTAAAGTAAACATATACTGAACTCTTAGTACATGTCAAGAATTATGCTACATGCTTTGTTAGTGCTATCATTTAATCTTCACAGCTTTGTAATACATATATTATTATCCATTTCCTAGATGAGAAATTCAGTAACATGCCCAAGGCTATACCTTCTAGTTTGTTTCCTGGCTAACTTCTTTCTTTTCAAATCTCGGTTTAGATGTTGTTTTCTCAAAGAAATCTGCTGGATGACTAACATGCACATCAAGTACCTTTTCTTTGTTCCCTTCAAGTGCCCATTATGTTCCCTTCATAACTTCTACACTTGCATTATACTTATTAATATTCTTTAATTATTACAAAATATCAACAATTCATTATTATTTTTATTTAAGTTATTCTTTAAATACATATCTTGTCCTCCAGACTATAACCTCATTCAGGACAAGACCTGAGCTGGTCTTCACTGCAGCGGAACCCGAGCACCTGGTTTAGAGAGCAGTACATCATGTTCTCTTAATGAATATTTACTGAAAGCCTAAGTGGAAGTCACAATGTCTTCACTTTGCCTAGGCATCTATATATACAACAGTGTTGACCCTATATTGCTAATATTCAAAATACTGGTAAACAGTATTACAACTTTCTTACCCTAATTTAGCCAGCAGATTCTGCAGCCATACCCAAATGAGGAAGACCACACTTAAAATACTAACATCAAAGTCACTTACTTTGACATGGGTTTGTTACCACTGTCCTCCTTTGCCTTCCTTCCTTCCTCTACAGGCTTGAGGTTCAACAGTGGGGTCACTTCGGCATTGCCATAGCCAGCAAAGGTGATTGCCGCCGTGCCGTTTTCTTCATCTATCTCCTCAATCTCCGCTTCATAACACCTGTAAAGATATCATGGCTGTAAGCAGGTGAGTAAAGGTTTAGTACTCAGCCTACAAGACTTATACTGCAGTGATTCAATTAATACATGTGTCTAAAATGAAACTTGTGTAAGCAAATGGCTCTTTGGCCAAAATTATACAAGAGTGGCTGGAGTTAGCCACATGCTATCAAAAAAGAAAGTCCTAATCAAAATACTGTCAGGAAAGGCTTAACACATCTACTGAATGTACTTTAGTCAATCTCTTTGAAAAAAGATTCTTCTTATAGTAACAATTTCAGAGTATGTGCTTAGATACTCTGGTCTAAGATAGCCAACCATTCACTCAACTTTCAAGTAAAAAAAAAAGTTTTTAAAAATATTCATTTGTTTTCTCTGCTTTCATATTTCTTTCTTCTAGGATCCAAACCATTCTTCTTCCCCAGGGCTTAACCTAAAGCTAAAAACTAAACTGTACTAATGATAACCATCCAAGGATCAAATTGGCTGTATAAATTATATTGGCTACAAAGGAGGATTAAAATAGGGCAGTTCAAACTGAATAAAAACATCTTACCATTGCATCTTATTATTTCATGTTATAGTTAGAGTTTTTTCTACACTTACTGTCCATCTTCACTCCAGATTGCCATACACTTGTCTCCTACTTTCCATGAATGAGTGGGCTGAGTAGAAGCAAAGCTGTCTGAACTTGCAAGAGTTTCAGAAGGTTGAGTTGACAGAAGGTCTTTGGTTAGTTCTATAACTTCCTAAAAAGGAAAAATAAAAACCGTAACATTATAATTCAGTCACCAACTTTAAACAAATAACTAATTTAATTTTTGATGACAACAGCTCTCATACCATATAGCACTTTACTTCTCTACACATTTATTTGCAGTTCATAACAATAAAATGATGTAAGTACTGTGATTATCCCCATGTAGAAAACTAAGATATAATATTGTATACAGTGGTCGAGTTGGAATTTAAACCCATACAGTGGCCTTTCAACTTAATTAACCTCAAATTTGAACAGAAATAGGGTAAATTTGCACTTAAAACATACATTATTTCTAAGTGCCTATTTTAGCTGAATAGATCTCTCTAAAGATGAGAAATAGTCAAATTACGGACTGAAAAATAATAAGGGACTGACTAGACTGAAGATCACTTTTACCTCATGTCATTGTCACACGTATTTCATGCAGCTGTACTGTTTTACAGAGCAAATTACTTGGCAGTAGCACTGTCTAGCTGACATGACCTCCTGCCAAAAAAACTCCCAAGACACTTGGAGCCCTCATGTAATAAAAATGTTCCTGCTCATAAACATTTCTACTAAAATACTGTAGGTACACATAAAAGGTTAGTAGTCTTCTTATTCATGTATTATAAAACTTAAACCATCTGGGTAAGCAAATTACCAGGTTAGACTGAAAATACCCCAATACTTTAATGTTAAACACATTAGCACAGTTTCATTTAAAAGGAAAAATAAAGTAAATGTTAACACACAGGCAGGAAAATAACTTTTCTGTGTGGCAAATATTTCTTCTTATTCAGGCTTTCACACTTAATGGTTTCATTCAAAGGTGTTTGGTAGGGTTGGTTAAAAAAGTTAATAGTGAAAATTGATATATTTTGATACTTATCTCCTATATTTTTACTCTAATGAAGACCACAATTGTGCATTTTATCTGGTTTAAGAACTTCATACCTGTTCCCCCACTGTTGCATATAAAATACCTTCAAAAGCATCACATTGTATGTTTGGGGAGAAAAATTAGCAAAGTTTAACTCTGTACTGAGTTTCTTCTGACTCCTATTTAAGTTTTTTAATAGTAGTTTTGTCTCAGTAGACAAGAAAGTTAAATAGTATCTCTCTTAAAGATTCTAAATCTTCCTAGCTATTTCTAAAAAAACTATTTAAGCCAAAAAAAAAGGGTAGGGAGCAGATATCAAGCTCTTGGAGAAAAGCCAGTTTTTTTTTGGGTGGGGAGACCTAGAAGACTCAGATTTGAATTAAATTCAATAGAACAGTATTTGTAATGAGGTTTTATTAAGTGCCAAATAACCATTCAAGTACCTTTTAATTATACAATCCTTTGCAAATAAAGCAAAGAACTTCCAAATAAACAGATCATTTACTAAAAAAGGAGAGCAAATTATCCAGTCTCATTTTTTATTAACCACCTTTAGGGCCAGAAATGTAATTCAGTAAGCCTGACTCAAGAGCTGATACAATCCCTATCGTTAAACAGTTCCATTTAACTAGGGATCATTTAACTACTAAAGCACAAACATGAACTCTGCATTTCGAGATCTCAGATTTACAAGTCTACTTCTCTTAGGACAGAACATCTTCCCACTACATTTTCCAAAGGAAATACCTTTTCATCAAAGAAAAGGATCCTGAAAAGCTGTGCATGTTGTATTTTCAGAGCCCTGCACTGAAAATGACACTTTTTAAAAATTCCAGAGCATTTATCCCTAGTTGTCCTTTCATTTTGCGATGTTTTACACACCCCTCCCAACAAACTATGAAGACCCTTCTAAGTTTTTTTTCTTCACATGTACATATGGACCAAAGTATTAGAGAAACTATTTTATGTATGAGGGGGTTCTTAAAGGTACATACCATTAATTACTTTTCCTCCCCCAAGTCTGAGTTCTGAAACTGCTCCTTCATTGACAGATGGGCAGCAGTTACAGTAATCGGCAATTCCAGGAAGCATCAGATGTTGTGATCTACATATCAGCAGGTCAAAGGGGGTGCACTCAAGCACTCTGCTTACTGAAGGAAGGCGTTTCGGGGATGCAGAGAGCCACTGTAATATATGAGACAAGTGACTTGACCCCTGCCTCCTTTGGAACCAGCTTATTCAGCAAAACAGCCTAATAAATTGACTATTTTTGCGATTATCATAGACTCCTGGGGAGCTTAGTCAGCTAGCTAGCCTGGATTTTACTATACCCACTTTTTTTAAGTGAAAAAAGAAAGGCAATTAGGACTTCAGTAGATTAATTTGCTGCCTGCTGAGTAATTTTGTTCTACATGAAAGGCAATACATAAAGAGAGAAACATGGAAGCCTTTCGGGCAAAATGCAAGTCCATGACAAAATGCAGAAAGTGTTTTGTCATAAGTGAAAGGGCAAAACAAATTCAACCAGGGTAAGGAATATTCCTTAAGAGGAACACAAAAAAATAAAAAAGGTTACAAACTCAGTCATGGGTCTGGATAGACTTTTTAACAAATATAAAAACATAATCAAGTATCAGTGGCACAAGGTACATCCCAGAAAGCATAGTAGAAAAAGAGAAGAAAAAATTGTAAAAAAACCTCTATGACAAAATAGAAGCTGTTAGTACAGTTATGGAGATAACTTCTAGATGCAAGCAGATATTCAAACACTTCAGAATTTCATTTTATCTTAATGATGCCTCCCATCTTTTGAGTAGTTTTCAGTTCAAAACAGATCTGTAGCTAGTAATCAAGATGAAAATTTTTCACCATGACAGCTTAAGAGGAAAAAAAACTGTGATCAAGATTGGTCAAGTTAAAACATTCTGTATTGTTACTATCTGAAGTGTTAGAACTTATAAATCTGTGCCATCCTATATATGGTTGTCACGTGGCTATTTAAATAAAAAGTCAGTTCTTTAGCCACACTAGCCATATTTCAAATAGTCAACAGCCAATACAGCTGGTAGCTACAGTATTTCACAGCAGATATAGAGCATTTCCATCATCATAGAAAGTTCTATTGGACAATGCTGTTTTAAACGGTTCTAAAAAATAAGGTGTTTTACAGATAAACGACCCCCAGGTCATTATTAACCAAACCATAAGTAAGCCATTTGTTTGTTAACCACAATGCCTATCATAATGGTCTCGCTCCCTACAGTATTTCCACTACAGATCATGTCACAGTAAGGAAATTCTGCCATACTGACAATTTATTCCAAAATATTTAAAAAGACCTCCTAATAATGCTATTTCAACCTTCACTCCCAGCTGCCCCTCCACCAGTTACATATATCCTTCCTCCCGCTGCCCAGGAAGTAATATATACACCATTGGCACACAATGTTTTATTTTCTTCAAAGAAAAAAAGGACTGGTCTTAGATTGGTGGGGACAAAAAAAAAAAAATGGGGCACGTAAGGATATCTCTTTGAAGCAAGAAGAAAGTTGGTCTGGAGTGGCAGAAATTGCTCCTAAACATCTTTTTCTTTCTGACTGGCACCATAAAATCTACTGGCCTGACTTCTACATATTGAAGAGGGATCCTGTTTTCTGTGTTTTTAAAAATAACACGATTTATTACAATTTCATTCAAGTTTATCCTAAGTCCAGAATTTGAAGCTGAAAATAACCAACTCATCTTAATTATGCCCAGATAAGCTCTTCCAGAATCCTGAATCTGGACCCCATTTCAAATACATTTCACTTGTTTGCAGTTCTAATATCCCTAAAATATTAATAATGGGCAAGTGGATGATAAAGGGAAGGAAAAGATTACTTAAGATTAAGATGATTCAAGTTTTGTACTGAATCAGTAAAGACCATCAAAACACCTTTTAGAAGTTTCAAAAAAATCAAGCTCAGAATTTCAAGTTCTCATTTTTGTTAAGATGAAGTCACATATATTTACAAATATGAATTAGTGTTATTAATCGGTCTAGTGTCCTGAGAAACAACAGATTTAATAATATTACTTTGTCTTGAAATACCAGTGCAAGTTTTAAAAAGCAGGTTTCATACTCTCCCATAATAAAACATTAACATCGCCCCTTCACATTGAACTCAATTTAACTTCAGCAAGTGTTAACAATATAAATCCCAGCCTTAAGTTCAAATATTATGTAACATTTATGCAGAAAACAAGTATCTTTAGATATTTTGATAATGTTTTCAATACAAGGTAGTACCTGCTAGCTTTGAAACACACATACATAGACTCATCTCATCTTCAAAGAATCTTGTGACATTAAAAAGAATCTTAATCAGGTTATATTTTTCTCCTTTAATTTCATTTACCTTTGAACTACATTTCCTTTGCCACATCTTTAAAGAGAAAAACACTTTACAGGGTAAAGTTGTATGCACCTCTTTAGGAAGTTTGAGACTTCTAAAATCAACTTTTTTTAAAAAAATCAAGTGGGCATATAAAATTTTCATGACAAAGAACAATGCTTCACTCATTTTAATGTATGAAAACTGAGGAATCAACCCTACTTTTATAAGCCAAGTATGCTTATGTACATATACCCATGTACACACAAACACAAGGTGGAGGGGGGGAGAGGGGACACCCCCTCCAAAGGGTGCTTTGGATTTTAGTAAATAATTTGAAAAATACAGAAACACTTCTTCCAAGCAATGTAACTATGTTTCCTCATACTTACTTGCAAATCTTTCTTTAATTTTAGTAAATCTTCATTTTCTCCATTTCCAGACAATGCAGCTTCAACCTGTTGGAGTTGAGCTTTGTAGCTTGCCAGCTGCTTTGCTAGGTCTTCTGACATCTGGGGAAAATAAAAAGGGTACGACCATGAAAACTGAACAAGAAGCAAACCATAAAAAATAATTTCTCTGCTGAATTAACAATCACCAACTCCTTATTGTAACTCATTGCAGCTTTAGTTATCACCACTACCTTTACACATAACTCAGAGAAAAGCTGTGAGCCAAACCACAAACTGCAAGGCAAAGTATTCTGAAGATTATAAACGTCAGATAAATTTCATACAGAAACAGAAAACAAAAGATAAGAGGGAAAAGGAGACTCTAATTTTAAACTCCTGTAACAGAAAGGTACTGTATTCGCCTCAATTAACAGGGCGGTTGTTAGCTTCACCAAAATACACACACACACACACAAAACACTAAGCTGTTTGTTGGAAGAGTCAAGACTTTCGAAAAAATTTTTAGGCACTAAAGAATACTTCCAAAACCAAATTGCCTGTGGATTAGCTACACAAAACATCTCTTTACGTCAGCTATTCGATTAATAACGTATTTAGACGGTCTGCTCCAGAGCAAAAATCTCACCCAGCCACTTAACTAGTGCCGATGCACTTAACATATTAAGTAAAAGAAACGGCACAAATCCCATTTAGGCACTCTAAGGAACGTGCCTTTCACCCAGTCTGGCTCATTCTTCACCCTAAAATAAGATACGAAAGGATCCTCTCTTGATTTATGAACCAACGCGGGGCTTCCGAGGTCCCTTCTCTTGTCTTACAATTACCATCCAAAGACAGCCTGGAATCTGGAAGGACTCCAAAGAGGTTAGGGAAAGCCAGGCGGCTCTCCTCCCAGGCACCCAACCTCAAAGCCCGCTACGGCTTGGCCGATCATTTCAGACCTTGGAAATCAAGTATCAGCTTCCAGGGAAACCGAGAAGCGAACGGATCTGACCCCAGCGGCGCTGAAGCCCCACCCGCCCGAAGAGGCTCCGCAGGGAGAGGCCGAGGGCGTCCCTAAGAGACTTCCCGCGCCCCAACCCCACCCTGTTCCGTGGGTTACTGGCGTTCGTCGCCACGGCACGGAAAGCCTCCGCCGGTGCGCGGCCGCTCCGGGCCCACCTGGGTGGGAGAGGAGGCCGCGGCTCCTAACACTCCAGCGGCGCCCAAGCCTCTCGAGCGCGGCCGCGGCCTCGGCCTCAGGCCTCCGCTCCCACTCAGGAGAGGCCGAGGCCCGGCGCGGCCTGACTCTCCTTCACCAAGCTTGTTACCTTGTGTGGGGTTAGGGACGGGGCGGCGGGAAGGGGTCGGGGCAAACGATCCCAGTGGTGTTCGTGGCGGCTGATGCAGCAGCAGGAAAAATCTCGGCGGCGACAAGAACGACTCCGTCCGAAAAGGAAGAATTGGGTCGGCGGTGAGGGGGAAGGGTGGAAAGCCGGACGCTGGAAAAGGAAGACTTAAGTGAGTCAAATCTCGCGAGAAATCTTAAAACCCTCGCGAGACTTCGCTGGAGTCGCGTGATTCTTAGGCCACTCTAGGCTGCAGTCCTTTACTCGCATTAGGGACGCCGAGTGGGCGGGTTTTAGTAGGAAGGAAGACGCGTGACTGGGCTTCTCCTGCCGCCGGTTGTGAGTTCGTCTCGACTCAGTTCCGGTTCGGAGTGGGGCGCCTTTGGGTTGTTTCAGGGGTGGTGCTGTCGGGAGTTTCCTGAGGTTCCCATCGGGAAATGGCGTGTGCCTGCTTAGGCCAGATGTGTGGGGAGGTAGGAGGAACGGAGATTTTATACTAGTGTTTGGTTGTCAAAGTGCGGTCGCTGTCCTAGTAGCAACGCAAATTGTCAACACCCACCTCGGGGAGATTGATTTATTTAAAACCTACTTTCGTTAGAACCTGTTTGGTTTAAATTAATTACATAGGTTAATCTCGCCTGATGGGTAGCAATCTCCAAGTCACAGTCTTGAATGATAAGCGGAGTGAATACTTCCGTTTGTGTTTAAAGAGAAATGTGCATTATGTTTGTAATAAAATATTTCTGGACGGATACGTGAATCTGGAGATTTGGAGGGGAGGCCAAATGTTTTCACTGATTACCTTTCACTGATTATTCTCTACATTATATATATATATTTTTAACAATTAAAAAAACTAGCTGGAAAAGATAAAATCCTGAGACACAGACAATACGAATGCCAGGAAGAACCTTCCCTGAGAGACTGGAGTCTTGCTGGACCATTACGAAGGCCCGCCTCTCAAATAGGCTAAGTGTTGGACTGTGACATCTTGCTTCAGTGCGATCTCGCTTTTTTTTTTAAGGGGCCCTCCCATTTCTTATTTCTATATACATGCATATCCCTCATACAGAGTCAGATAACCTATAGAGATGGAAACTAGACCAAAGTTACGATGACTGGAGTGGCAGTCCATTTGTAAGAATTGAAAATTCTTAACTGCAGAGGGCAGCATTGTTTAGCTAGAATTAAGAGGGAAGATAAACCAGAAAGGATACTTTTCCTTAATGTAGTAGACATTTGTTCAAATACAACTGACTGCTCCTACTCTAATTGTGTATTGTAAGAACTAATGCCTGAAGGATCTTCCTCAAATATAAGATAAATTATATAGTTGTAAAAATCTCTCAAATAACTCTTCACAAACCCCCTAGATCAGAAAATAGGAAAACATTTATTCTAAGCTCCAGTATAGATTGCTGTAACGTTTTGATAGCTTTTGTTTAAAGGATTGCTTTTAATCTCTACTTCTGTGCAATATAGATTATATTTGGAAAGAAAAGCTATACTGAATTTTAGTTCTCACAAAAAGGTAACAGTTTTATGTACCAAACACCTTTCTAAGCACTTTACATGTATTTATTTAATTTTCACAATGATTCTGTGTACTATTAAAGACAAAACTGGAGCAAGTACAAGTTTTCACTAAGTGATACTTCAAATAGGCATTCTGAATTACCACCTCCTTTGAAGTATCAAAATCTACTTTCAATGTCTGATTTTTCTTAAAATATCCTCAAATTTAATCATGTTTATTCTTCCAAAAACAGTATCTCAAATCTCTAGTTCTTTAAAACTGGTATTTATTTTACTGAAACCCAGTAAGCAAATAAATTTAAAGACTCCAAACTGTCATCAGAATATATGGTTTTACCTTTCACTACTAAAGAAAGTTGAAGTGAAGAAGCTGCCTTTGGAAATGTGCCAATCCACTGCAGAGCAGTATGCAATAAACTAATGCATGTTAGCAATAAACTAATGCATGTTAGTTAAATGGGAGATTGCATTCTTTAGCTTAGCTTTTGTTGTATCCTTTTCTAAGTAAAAGTGGCCCCAGATTTGCCTACATATTTTGCTATCTTGACAGATGCCTAAGGTGATGAATTAAGAGATGCGGCCATAGTCATAGTAACTGCTTCTGCCGTTTGCACTCTTCAATCATAATAGGTATCTTGAATGTTTGCACAGGGATTTATTGCAAGACAAGCTACTGGCCTTTTGGATATATTGAATGTTTTTGGGGTACAGTGTATTGAAACCATATTATGGGGTGACTCTCCAGTGGCATCATCCACTTAAGATTGACAGAAAAAAAACTTTAAATGGATGCTGACCAATGCAGGTGCTCATCAGTCATAGCAATCCTGATTTGTTCACTTAACTCTGCATTGCCTTGCTAGTATTAAGATATGCATTTTCAGCTATTCTGTATTTTACTTGTACCAATAAAGAACAGAAAACTGCCACTGTAGCAATAAAGAACTGAAAACATGCCACTAAAAACAGAAAACAAGAATTTATTTAGTTTGAGAAAGATTATAGCCTAAAACTTTACAAGAATCAGAAATGGCCGAGTCATTCTTTAGGCCTATTTGAAAGTGGTGTTTCATAGCACTCTTACATAATTCTTAGTAGGATATATTCTGAGGGCAAAAGAACAACAACAAAAAATCTCAAACATTATAGAATTATTGCTAATAGTACTATTGGTGATATAATTTTGAAACATGTTTACCAGAGGTAAAATGAATAATATATTTATCTTAGTTAAATATATTATTTAGTTAAACATGTTATATTTAGGTTAGTTAGAACTCTAAGAGGAAAGAAATAAAAATATGAGATAAAAGAAGTTTGGAAATTTAAAAAAAAGCCCTCTGATGTTAAATTTGAATTAGAATTGTTTATATATATATATATTTCTTAGAAAATGTTACCCCAATGGATACTATTCCCCACAAAAGAAATAGCATTTCTTAGAGATATGGTTGTTTTGGGGGAGTGAAGCCCAGAAAGTATAAAAGTACAAAGGTGAACCTGGAACATCTTGCCAGAAAGCAAGACAGTACCCCACAGCTAATAAGATCAAATCAAAAGCTCATAGAACCCAGCTTGAGGGGACTCTTATTGGCCAAATGTGAGTCAATTTGGGCACTAAAAAGAATAATGACTGTGACAGATTATCAAAGCATTGATACATTTTTTTTAAAATCCCTAATTCCATAGTCACAAAATCAAGAGTAGTAGGGGAAGGGATTTTTTTCCTTATAGAGGAATGCCAGCCAATAAATATAGCTGGAATGATAGAATTGGAGAAATCACCATGTGTCAGCTCAGGCAAAGATCATCAGTAGAAGCTAAAACCCACCTTGTAAAAGGAGGTAAGAGAAAGGAGGATGTACAGTGTCAGAGTCTCACTCCATAGATTACTTAATAATTACAAGGGGAAAGTATGCCTTATAATGAACAGATTTAGCAGTGCCAACTTAACCTAGTGATCACATTTAGTACCACTTAAGCCTGACTTACAGTCCTCTGGACTTGGTGCAACATTAAGTAACAGTACACCTATGAAAGAACCTTGCCCAAAATGCTTAACTTGAATATAATCAAGCCTTTTGACCCGACTTCCAGTTTGCAGGTAATACAGGGATAGAGGAACAACTTAAATGACCCTGAGGGAAGAATAAGCAGATCCAGAATGTGGGACATTGATTTAAAAAACTGGCCTAAATTCTTCAGAAGGTCAGTGTCATTAAAAAAGCGTGGGGGACTGTTGTAAATTAAGAGACAAAAGACATAATAATTAAATATAGTGAGTAGATCTTGGTTGGGTCTTTGGAAAAATAAAGCTAAAGAAAAATGTGAGGACATTTGGAAAATTTGAACAGGGACTGGATATTAGATGATACTGGATTGTTAATTCTATTAGGTATGGAATTTGCTGAGGTACCTAGGAGAATGTCCTATTCAGGTATTTAGGGATGAAGTACCAGAACGTCTGTAACTTACATTCAAATGGTTCAGCCAAGAAGATTATAGAAAATTTTATAAAATTCATGTGTGTGCAGGTACATGTATGTGTGTATGAACACACACACAATAATCCCTGTTTATCCATAGGGGATGTGTTTCCAGACCCCCACTGGATGCCTGAAGCCACAGATAGTACTGAGTCCTGTATGTACTGCACTGTATTTTTTCCTATATATATACATACCTCTGATAAAGTTTAATTTATAAATTAGGCACAGTTGCTCAGTGAAATAAGCCAGGCGGAGAAAGACAAGTATCAAATGATTTCACTCATCTGTGGAGTAAAGAACAAAGCAAAAACTGGAGGAACAAAACAGCAGCAGACACAGAACCCAAGAATGGACTAACAGTTACCAAAGGGAAAGGGCCTGGGAAGGATGGGTGGGAAGGGAGGGGCAAGGGGGGAAAGAGGGCATTACGATTAGCACACATAATGTAGGGGGCGGCTGATGGTACAGGGAAGGCAGTATAACACAGAGAAGACAAGTAGTGACTCTAGAGCATCTTACTATGCTGATGGACAGTGACTGTAGTGGGGTATGTGGTGGGGACTTGATAATGGGGGGAGTCTAGTAACCACAATGTTCATGTAAGTGTATATTAATGATACCAAAATAAAAATAAATAAATAAGGCACAGTAAAAGATTACCAACTGATAATATAGAACAATTACAACAATATTCTGTAATAAATGTTATGTGAATGTCTTCTCTCTCAAAATACACTGTAGGCATCCTTCTTGGGATGATGTGACATTATAAAATACCAATGTGATAAGATGAAGTGAGGTGAATGACATAGGTACTATGAGGTAGCCTAAGGCTACTGCTGACCTTCTGACCTACCACAGTCAGGAGAAGGAGCATCTGTCTCCAGACCTCTGCTGACCTTGGTAACAGCTACTGCAGAAGTTGAAACTGCAGATAAGCGGGGGCGTGGAGCCGTATGTGTATATATGTGTGAAGACGGTCTACATCTGTATGGAGAGACAAAGAATCAAAACGTGGCAAAATGCTAAGCCATTGTGGAGAAGAGATGTCTTCACTGCTGTAGCTTTATAACCTTCCTGTATGTTTCAAATTTTTCAAAATAAAAAGATGGAGGAAAGTGTTCATAGACTAATCAGAATAGCTTTG